ACAAGTCGCCACATGTTCCAACCCCCAACCTGGATGGCCAGGAGACTGTGTTCGTCAGACCTCTAACCATTGACCAACCTGGTATGAGAGACTCTGTGAGTGTCGCGGGACACTCTCCAGTATAGCTCAATGGATCGCTGAGGTGCGCAGACCGTCACACCGCGGTAAGGTCCAGTCTCTTCGTGACGGTGAGGTATCCCATTTAAGTACCTTTTGTCTTTTGTGAAATCTGTCGTTACACGGTGTCTGTGTGTGTGTGTGTGACACTGTGCACCTGTCGCAGTGTGTGTCCGCTAGTGAATAACTTGCTTGATCCTCCAACCTTTTCCGTCTTGTGTCAGTTTGCTTACACTTGATATCTTTCTTCTCACATAGGTCCCTTTCACATAAAAAGGTTCTTGAAACCCTGGGCATCACTGAGCGTCTTATTCGCGCCGAACGTGCCCGTGTCGAATACCTGGTGGGGAGTTTGCAACGCCTTCGGTTGACTGCTGCGTTCGATGGATCGGGAGTATTGTCTCCCTTGGCTCGCAGTGGAACTCCAAGCTCATCGGGGAAATATCGCGGGACCCATTCGAAATCTGGTCGAGGGACTGATGACTCAATCCCCAGTCCAGCTTACCAGTCTTTGATTCAACGTGATCGAGCCCTGTATAGGTTATTTTCCAGCCATACTCTTTCTGTGGTTGATGCTCCCATCGCTCTCCTAACAATCGATGCAGATACCGACGATGATCAGTTGATATCGGAGTCAGCAGAGCCTGCGTTGCCTTCTTCCCTAGTTGTACAAGGTAGGAGTAGTAAAATTCATCCATGCTATCCTTCTGGTGCGTAGCCGCTATGCAGCCTAAATAGAGCACAGGAGTTCAGGTGCTAACAGATTGCCACAACATATAGAGCTAACCTTTTTGCAGTCATTCTCTATGCTTGGTTTCGGAAGAGAAAAATATCAGTAGGTCTGAAAGGCCGTGCACATGAAACTACGATATAGACTGTTGATGTAGACTGATGTAGACTGGACTGGTAACACTGCAATCCGTGGCTGTAAAATGAAATTCACAACGTCTATATCACCAGTTGTTCTTCAGTATGATGCAGTTCTGACACTCTGGGAGCGTTCTTTTCCCATTCTACTCATTGCACAGCGGCGTTTTTTACTTAAGCCAATTGTATGGAAACTTGGGGTTACTCTCGCTGAAGATGGTTTCTAATTCGTAACCAACTCTCTACCCTCCAGTTGTCTGAAAGATGGATTGTCCTTCTCTGCTGACCAAAACCATGGGGCGGTTTATGTACCTAACTCAAAGTTGGAAATTTCCAGAATGACAGTCATCACACAATAGAAATTAACCACTGTTGATTTCTGGGTTACATATTTTTGGGCTGAAAGTGGCGCAGAGGTGCGATCCATGTACTCATCTGGGCATAGAAAACCTCGTGATGTTGGGTTGCCTGGTGTGTTTTTCTATCTCCCTGTAACTATGTGGACCGTTCCGGAGGATTAATTGTGGTGTACTTTCACTTTATGCTGAAAGTTCACGTAGCGTAGTTTATCTAGTAGCCAAAAGCTCACGAGTCCTAATTTCCTAAAAGATCCATCAGAAGCTCATTGGTGGTGCTTCTTAATAAGGAAGTAATAGACGTGCGGTGCTTCTCCGCTTTACAGTCTAGTTGAACCTGACTTTTAAGGCCAAACCCCCGTTTAAACGAGGGATGAATAATTTTTCTTAACCAGTAATATTCAAGGGCACGCTTGCTGAGACGCACATGATCTACTAATGTAATTTTTGGACATAGCACGTCGAGGGTCTTGCGGTTTCCTTTTTTACTACTACGTTGTCACACTTACTTTGGCTATTGTTAACATCTCTAAGTTACTAGAATAGTGTCCCGTGCAGTCTTTTCGAGTTCAGCAACTTTTACTTAGAACAGAAGCAGAGAGTTGATGTGGACCAGTTCTGTGCCGAACTCCAACTAAATGTGTCGACAGTACCTCTCTCTAGCATTCGGATGCCTATCGCCTTCATCCAGCTGCGCTTTTGGTGCCTAGCCACCATGTCACCCGAAGGAAGCACGAGGGTTGATATACGGCTAGTGTACCCAGGCTTAAATAGGAGCAGTCAAGACGCCGGTGCTGGGTTCGAACCACGGACCTTCCAGTCAGTAGATTCGCCTCTATCTCGTGCGTAGCCTGTCGTCTTGGCTGGTAACGTCCACCACTCCGGTTAGAACAGTCCACAATAGCAACATATTCTCCTTTCTGGATTCGACACAGTTCACTCCCAGCTCTCGTCCAATAAGGAAACTGACTCTTTAGCCTGATGGTTTTGGAAAAATGCCAAATATACCATCCATTGTTCCTCTCTACCATCACTACAGGTCAACAGAGAAAGTTAGAACAGCTGGTCGGTTTCTCAGGCGAAGGTATGTCCATTACAACTATTACGGTGTCCCTCCCCCCGGCTCCCTTCCTGTCATCTATCTTCACCTTTTTCTTACAGCTGCGTCAACAAATAGTCCACCACCAAGAGACCCAGACCCGCTCACTCAAAAACATCCGGATCCTATTGTCTTTTCGGCCAATGTGCGTCCTTGTGTAACCACTTCCACCCCACCATTGCCTCGCATTCATCTGGTCTCCTCTCCCCAGACTGAGTCCTCTTCCTCCACGAAATTGGTTTCTGCCTCACCGACTGTCCATCAAACGCCAGCGCCTTCTTCCACATCTGTGAACAATTCTCAGGTGGCGGAGATACCTCCAACCTCATCCCAGTCTCCTTCCACAGGGTTGTTTGCCCTTGGCCAAAAGTCCACCTTGGCCACGTCACCAGTGATAGTCGATCAAAAATCCGGCTCTCCAGCGACTACCCAACGCATTCACAATTCGGCATCGACGATCGTGAGTCCTACGATGTCAACCGCTGCAACAGCGACAACAGCATCCATGGGAATATTTGGAAGACCGCTTGTATCATCCGGTCCAGTGTGGACTGGTTCACCACCTCAGTCAAGTAAGTGTGGCTTTTCCGCTCATGGAATTCGGCAGTTTTTCCGCCGAACAGCGTAACTTTTTATGGCTATATTGTAGGGCAATTAATGAGCTTCAAAGATAACGACATAGTGCAGCATTATTCATATGGTTTTGTGGGACTGTTACTTCCTCTGTGTTTTGTCCCTTAACAGACGCGTCTTTGTACCATCAGTGGTATGCCGGGTTTGGAGGGCTACCGTAGGTGTTCAACCCGAAATTGGGTCTATTCGGAGGCCTCTTTCACCCGATGTTTTGAGTTTCTGCTCTCAATATGCCTACCTGTTGCATGTGTTGCCTACGGACTCTTGTCGCAGGTGGATATTTGGTGTTGGGTGGAGGTCCTAATCATAGGGCCCATCTCACCGGCTCCTTAGCCAGGAGAGCGCGCCTCTCATATCCCTCTAGAATGTGCACAACTGTCCGCTGTTATTCAACCGTCTGGTCTGTGGACTTAACATACAACACCGCCTCACGATACTTTATTATCAAAGCCCTGTAGGATGCTCCCAGTTTTGCGTTACTTAGATTTCATTTGCAATCAGACAAATAAGAATCATGTTTGTGTAATTCTGTCGCTTCTGTATTCGCACTTAGAGGATTAAACTGAATTGTTGCAATAAACCGAGGCTGTAAACGTCGTCGCTGCACCAACCACTCATCTCCAAGTAGCGGGTGCTCACTATGAATTGAAAAAGAAATTTTCGATATGGGGGCGGAGATAGAGGTTACTTCCAACTACTATACACTATGAGGAATGTCTGCACTTGCTGGAACTTGGGTTATAAACCAGTCGAACCCAATCCTCATAATACACTCTATTAACCGCCGTAAACGGATGTTTCGCGAGAATCCTCGATACCAATACGCTTAAACTAATATGTTGATCTTCCACTTTATCTCGAAATCTTAGCTGTCGAGTAGCTTCTATGATAATCTGCTTTGATAATCACCAAGGTCAACTATCCACCAGGTGTAACACAAACTGGGTGCGCTAGTCAACGTGCTTTTGGAAAATGACCCTCATGAGTAAGTGACTGCAAATAGCTGATTATCATACCACAATGCCAGCACGGTTGTTTGCTTACCGCTTCTGCTGGTCCCACTATGCATACGATTTGACAAAGACGGGCGCTGTTTGTCTAGGCCGTGTTCGGAAACTTTGAGGAAGGTTACCGTAGTCCAGTGGTACCCACCGATGCGCTTTATTTTGGTGGTGCACTTTACGGTAACAAGCTAGAGGTTTTCCACCCGTATTATGCACACCCAACTATCCCCATCTGGGCGATTGTCTAGTATTCTGTCTCAAAGCGTCGGGCAACGCGTACGGTTTCATCAAGTTGTGGCAAAAGTAGGTTTTTATGTTTTCTGGAATTTCTTTACGGTATAGATCCGCCCTTATGGCATTTGGAACTTACTTGGCCGTTAACCATACTATGTTATGCGATACTGTACAAGACTTACGCGGTACCGTATCATACTATACGGTACCATGTCATACAACGCTGTACTATACTACTCTAAACGATACCACTACTGTAATTTACTCCACTTTACTGTACTGTACTGCACTGTACTGTACTACACTATACTGCGCTATGCTGCCCTCAGCAGGTCCCGGGTGATACTGAGATATGGTTTGGTAGTCAGTTGATGCTTAATCATACAAACTCACGGAACAAGTTTTATTCATAGAAGGAACTGTACTAGGTCACAGATAAAACAACCAGATACCGCATTGTTGGATGTTTTGCAACGGACTTTACCAAACCAGATTGTGTAAACACTTGGATCAGAGGCTGTTTCATTCTGCCATCCTGAATCTCTACATGTGTCATTGCTTGTTTAAACAATCCCGACTTCTCTAAACCTAACATTCTATGATTTGCCACCGAGCTTCCACGTCCCAGGTCGCGCACATCATTTGCATTCAGTCAGACTACAATAACGACGTTGTCAGGGACCCTTTTCAAACTGTGTGACGACATTGTCGTCAGTTCCACTATCCACATGTGCGACTAACAGACGTCTGTTTACGCCATAGAAAGGCTAGAACTGTCGGCGCTTTGACTGCCGCGGATCAATCGCCGTTTCACCTGGTTTGTTCTTGGTCTGTGTTCTGGCCCCGATGATACTACACAAACCGAGCCACACGTAAGATGTAGACATAGATGGTAATTTACTGTCCTGTACTCCTTTGAAAATGAACCGAAAATTCGTCAACTGCCCTTAAGAAGAATTCGGGCCTTAACTAATTTTGCCGAAATTGCCAGTTGACTTTCGAAGATAACCATATCTGTGGTATCCCAGATCCTTTACCCAGCATTGCATGAGCGTGATACGTTCTGCTTAAGTTTTCCGTGGTCGTATCAATGCTAGCGTTCCCTATCTTGCAGCCGTGCATAAATGATGTGAGCGTTGGAGATTGAAAAGTTCGTGAGTATTTTCTACCCCATTTGTATGGTTCTGCGGATGTCGACATCAGTCTGAGGTCAAAGAATGATCGCTTAGTCTTAGTGTTCAAGTCTGTGGCAAATGCCCCAGAAACAAGACGTACAATCCTCTGTTTCCGTCTAGGTTTCCTACCTATATCGCGTAATCTGTCTCGCCTTTACATACAGCTTTCGTTTGTAGTTTGTTCCTTCTGCAACAAAGGATGCGCTCGCTATTCTTGAACCTGTCACGTTTTCCATGACAGTCAGTTTACGCCATGCGTCTCCCTTCTATCAGTTCTTCACTAACTGCAGATGCTTGAAAAAAAGTGTTCAGCTGTAGCAACCTTCCGGTGCCCAGCTGCCATGCCACCCGAAGGAAGCACGAGGGCTGGGACACTGTCAGGTCGCCCAAGCTAGACAGGGGAAGTCGAGTGGCGGAGGTCGGATTCGAACCACGGACCTTCCGGTCAGTAAATTCGCGCTCTAACCACTTGGGCTATCTCGCATGGATAACATACAGAAATCCCGATGGCCTATCTCATAACAGCTTGTGGGATTTTACTGTTCAGAGTATAGTGCTGATCAGCAGCTGCCTACTATCGATCAATTTAACTAGTTGGCGCGCTACTGCTCGAGAACGTCAGTGCTTGCAATCGCCAGGGTTCCACTGTCAGATCACCTGCACATTCACACGATCAACCGCACCTCCACCTGCGTTGGCCATGGACGCATGACTGGTATTAGCCAATCGGGCCGCACTGCTCTTAATCACTGGTAGTTGATTCTTGCCTTCCCTCATCTGATCAAGCATGAATTTGTCACATCAGAATGAGAAACACGTGCAAACACACTCAACGAAGGGAAACTGAGCTTTGTGGATAAACTAATGCAACAGATCACTTTGAATTTGACATTTCAGGTTGTGTAAATTGAACTACATGAATTCAGTGATGATCCTGAGAGCCCCGAGACTCCTGATGGTCCTGCTATCCGCGTTACTCATGCTGAAACCCCGGATGAGCAACCCATAGTATTTTTTTCAGCTAAAATTTTATGCTGTTAGTGAAGGTAGTCTATGCTGAAAAGCAGAGAAGCGCCGTACAACTGTTTCATCCTTTCATCACACTACTGTTTAGCTGCTCGTGGTCGAATAGTTAAGTGTTCTACCACTGACCGAAAGGTTGCGGGTTTGTGAGATGCGCACTGTTGATGATTCCCAATAAGGGTGGAGTAGCTGTACAGTGCTTCTTGGCTCTGCGACTTCATTGACAACGAAGTCCCAATTTAAAAAATCTCTTACCATGACTAGTCTTCATACCACATTCGACCTCACGAGGGTTGCTTGTTCGAGGTGAACTTTCCCTGACCGACCACTGCGATCCGCCAGCCGGAGTAGCCTTAAGTGGAATGCGACTGTGTGACAATTGAGCCCCCCCTTTTCAACCCTCCACCGTATCTCTGTCCACGATAAAAGTTGTGGTGATGAATCGGGATCTTATTTCTCAATGTACACACGAATCCTGTTTCAATAAATCTTCAGAAGCAGTTCAGCCGCTAGTTATCGGAATCAACACCCGGGGTTACATTGGACATACTAGACTAGGCCTGTGACTACTCATGAGGTTGCTGAAAACTATTCAAATTTTCTGGGGTATTGTTGCTTAGTTGTGTTACGTCGAGGGATTGACACGACCGGCGCACTGACTGGCGTACCCCTGATGCAAATCTATCGTATTTTGGTAGCTTATTTTTAGTCTTGCAGCTCCGCATCACTTCAACCCCCGTAATTCAATTAAGATGAATGGAACGTATACTCTGAACGATTCGACTATGTTGTCACTACCCATTTGTCGTATTCATACGTTGCTAACACGCTGTTCCGACGGCACTTGGTCGGGTCCATCCAAAGTACAGACAGTCAGAAACAGACAGTCCTGCTTGTTTTAAAAATATATCCTGGCTTTACTTCATGGCCTGGTGATCATCACGGCTTTAAAAACTCTTTCCTGTGCCTTTCCGGTTGTTATTCCTCACCTGACCAAGGTGAACCTGGCGATCCAAGTAGTCGTTCTGTTTGCAACCCACAGAAATTTGAATATCCCTATGTATGGACTTTTGTTGACCCGCCCTTTGCACGCCAGTGTAAGGTCAGGACACTAAGCACTCCAAATGCAATTAACTAACAGACACTGGAGATTGTGGAATGTTTATACATTAGAAATTGCATGAGCTCCGACTGTATTGTGACAGATGAAATCAATTCATGAATCTTTTAGACTCGAAGTGCATTTGCTGATTTGATGCACCTATGAAGACATAACCTCAAGGTTCGTGGATTTCGTATTACACCGCGGGCTGTTTTGTGTTCTGGTTGTATCTGATTACCAACCACTGTCTCCGATCTAAAGCTCCAGTAAGCTGGTGTCAACGAATCCATAACGGTTTAATTAGAAAACCAGTATTAGGTTATGCAACAGGGTCTTCAAACGGAGCATTCGTCCAGCAGCAGAAATTGCGATTTTGGTTATAGCGGTAAAAAAATCTGAGCATTTTCGCTGTAGATAGCTGATAGCTGCAACCTTGATGTGGAGTTTGCACTTGCGCTTTATGATGGTTTCGCGGATTAACCTCACTGGGGCTCGGTTTTTCAAAGTGCCAGAACTGCCAAAGTGAGCTGTCCTAAAAAAAACGATCTGGATCTGAAATCCTGTGGAATGGAAGAGTTGAGGCAGCAACATATTTGGTGATACCGTCTTTATAGAAAGATGGACGCATTAGAAAAGGTCTATCCTCAGAAAACAATGGTTGACTATGATCGTTGGCGCGCTTTTAATACAGTCGAACTACTTTTAGTGACAAAGGGTATTACCGCCGTGCAGAGTAACTCTAGCAGTCAGACAATCATGCATCACTAAATGCACCATCTAGCTAGACAGTTCCTCTAATTGGGTCAACCCGCTGAGTGCACATAATTCAAGTAAACCCTTACATCTGCTGACTCGCGGGTCACGCTGTCGATCTAGAGGCTACGACTACAGTCCCGGACTAAAACCTTACCCTCTCGAACTTTTGAGTCAGAAGCTACAGGTTGGCTATCTCAAAGAGACCCCTTTTTCAGGTTTGTGCAGTCAAGAAGTAAGCTGCCAATGCAGCATCGGAGCAATGAATTCTTTCCACTTAGTTTCAACCCGAAATACCTCCGATACCTATGCATACGCACCGAAAAACTACAACAATGACGTCAGAAATTATTTTTACGCAGATCCTTCAAGACTTTCGTAGATGGCAAAGTTCACAACAAAATATTTTAGTTGGCCCAACCGACAACGGCGATAGCATTATTCGATTGTGCGCTGATCGCCATCTAATCATCGCAACCACGTAGGTGAGCACCGCGTTACCTTGCGCCATTCTAGCCGTTACCAATCGAGCACCTACTTTAACCACAACAGTCAACTACAGCTCGCGATAGTGTGTTCAGGAGTGTCGCTTCATTTTGGACATGTGTACGGAACCAGCTCATCTTTTGGTTCTAGACAACTCCTGCAACCAAAGAAGAAATCACTCATTAGTATGATATTCACTCTGCAAAATGCCGTTCACCAATAGCAGCTGTCCAGAGAACTGACTAATGTAAGTTAAATCGGCCGGACCAATGGAGTCTGGTCGGCTGGTCAGAAACACCAACAATTCGACACTGGACGATACGATTCAGTAAAATCCCGGATGTTGCGCCCGACCCTCAGACTTTTCTGGAGTAATGACATCCAAGGGAAACTCAAGTTGGGAAGAGTGGCGATGGGGGCTAGTCGACCTCCAAATTATTCGTAACACGGCCGAGAAAACCGCCGGTCAATGAAGTCATTCCGTAGATGAGTGTCCCAAAAGTTTATTGTGAGTTAGAACATCTCAGAGGACATAGATGCTCAGTAATACTGACCAGCATATCGCCATGTACACATTGGAACTATTTGCATCCGAAGCAGAATTTTTAAGAGAAACAAAGCGACCAGTCTAGGGATGGAGGAAAGGAATTCTTTCACAGTCTGACAGAACTCATGCAGGACGTTTGGAAGACAGGAGAGGAGTCAGGAGAATCGTAGTTACCTGGTTCCGTTTCCGTCTTAAATGAAGTTGTTAGTTCCGAACGTTTGAATCATCAGGATATTAGTCAGGTTGCGTTCACGCCTGACTTATACACAGGTGTCATCCTACGGAACCCGTGAAAATCGGTTTTGAAACCTGAGCAGGCCTCTGCCTGCGTTGTGGACGCTTTGACCACATGCTCAACTTGTAGCCAATTCTTGAACACCAGCTCACCTTTAGAGGACGAATAGTTGTTTAATTCCTAAATCTGAACCCAAAGTGGGGTTCTTCAGGGCTATTTTTTGTCACCTTTTTCCGACTTTCCAATCGAAATGATTATCGAGGAAACTATAGCCATCTTCTACCTCTTGTTTGAAGGTTTTTCGAAAAGACTTTAGACCTAGAGTATACCGACGATATTACACTTGGCTCATATTTCATCTGGATAAAAAGGACACTACATAGTTTAGGTAATGTGCGATATGACGTGCGTTTCGCACCTTCAGTGTGAAATGCTATTACGAGACTGGGCAAGGGCAATACCAAAGCTTGTTTCGGAGCCACTAGAGGCAGTGAACAGAATTATTTATCTGAGTAATTGTATCATGTCGTATTGACCATGAAGTGAATGCTAGAATCGCTATATTCCGTTTTGCTTCCCGCCAACTTAGACACCTCCGGGATTGATATGAATTCTGCTGAGCTGAATGCGTGTCCGAAGGTGTAGCCCTCCTCCTAGACGCTTGTGATAGGCAAGCATTAGATCCATGTCTCCTATTCTTTTTTCCTCAATAAGGATTTCAAAAAATTCTGTTTGCACAGCAGCCTATCTTGAACATTAATACCCTGCTGTCGATGATGGTGATTATTCATCAAAAAGTCTAAATAGAGCGTTCCCGCCTTCTAACACATTTTATACATTGGCAGAGTGTAATTTCGTAGCCCGAGATGTATGCTCCTCACATTTTAAACATCAGGCTACTGATGGCCGATCGTTGGCTGAGCTGATGTATTTTGTTGTGAGCGTCTCATCACCAGTCGAGACGATATCATCAGTCCGTTGTGAGTGGAAGTTCGTTGAAGTTGATATTACTGATCAGATCACTATATGAGTTGCAAAGGTCACTATTACCTTTTCCAGTTCACACCACTTTTAATTCCCAAAACACGTCATTTTGTCTCAAGGGGCACGCGTTTCAGACTATATTTAAAGCTGTTGGCCTTCGCCTGCGAAGAACGTGAGCTGTTTCTTGGAGTTAGACCAAAAAACGACTCAAGAGCACAGCTTAAGTAACCGGGTACCAACGATTTCGCAATAAGAGCACCAGGGAAGGAGGATTTTCGGTGTGCGTCCAACAGGACACACTAAAGTCGTTCATCCATGTACGTCACATGCCGAGTTATTTGTTGAAAAAAATTGTGGTTTCCTACTCCGAGTTTCGAATGATGTGAACGGGGCGGTGACCAACGTACGACTCGAGAGAACGAAGTGCAAGAGCTTGAGTGCCTTCGGTGCTGTCCGCCTTTCAGAGACTCCGTTCGAGTAGACTGACGTGGTTCTGCAGGTGTTAGTTGCCAGCATATTCCCACACTTGTGTTCTTATCTGTTGTAAATATTGACGCTTACCAGTGAGCTGACCATACTTGTTCTGTGTGCTATATAGCTGGACGCGCACGCAGTACTTTACACGATGCTACACGGAGTATTACACGCATATTATCACTAGCGCATCTAGTACATTGAGATAGTTTATCAGGACATGTGAGCATTCATTTCATATGCTATTCCACCGCATTCTAGATTCTCCGTCATGTGGCAGGTCACGTGTTTTTGTTTTCCAACTAGGTGCAGCTCACTTTTATGTGGACCCTTTTCGAACATAGCTGCAACCTAGGTGGTATATTTTTTCCCCTAATATCTTAACCTTTTTTGTCACATTTTTTCAGTTATTTTTTACTTTGAGCCCCACTTGTATACTAGCTTCTTACTAGTCTAGCAAGTCGCATTTAAGTTGCCAGGTAGTATCGCATCAGTACTATCTTCTGATTTGACTGCCCGGGAACATTATCCGAGAAATACATATCACGTTGAAAAAAATCGCTGTTATTGTTCTCATGTATTTATTCATCTGTGGTGTGCTGAAAATGGAGGTACCCTACGCCGGAGATGTTGGTCAAAACAACTCATTGAATTTGCTTTAGTCCCTGAATTCGTGATAGACACAATTCTAGCTGCTGCACACAACTCTCAACGTAAGTTTGTCGGGCAAGTGCTCAGTTTGCGTCTGCCCTCTACTTATTAGGGTGAACCCTGACAATGGCCTCCGGTCCCCTTTTTTCCCCACGATGTGAATAGCAGCCAAACGTTTACGAAACCGTCTATTTGTGTCAGCAACAAACAATAACGAATATTTAGCTTTGTCCTCTTTTCGGAGTTTGCCGCGGTGTCAGCAAATCCGGGTTTTATCCAACATCTGCCAGTTCAGTTAGCACACGTTACTTCCATAGGGATTGTTGGTCTACGCGTGGTAGAGCCATTAATATAATCAGTGATATATTAGGATCGACAGCTCGAGTAGTCGCAGTTCCTGGCGAATCCTTCAGCATATGTTGTCAACCGAACATCAGACGTCTGCATCTTGAGGTTGCGTTCAATTCAGTTAAGTTCGTCAGTTGTAAACTGTGTACCAGGGATGCGTTAATTCGAGCTGCTACATTTCCGGCTCCGGGAAATGGGAATGTTAAGCATTAGAGGTAATGTCATCACCAGTAAGTTCGCATTGTATATTCTTGGGAGAACCGGAAACTAGGCAGCTACTCATCGAAGGTAATGGCTTTAATGCACGAACGCCAATGACTACGTAATGGGGCCATGTCTCTGCCTTCGGTTACCATATTTGGATTTAGGAGCGGTGTGTTATCGGACTCCGGTTCTGGCGCCTTTTAGCTAACCGAGTTTTCCTGATCACATTGTCACTTTGTTGTGCGGGTTAACTATTTTTTCCCACAAAGATCGTCTTGTTCTGTAAAACTGTCGTATCTACGTCTGTTGCATCTTTTTTTTTTACATCGGTAACCAAATCGGTATATTTGTTGTCAGGCGCAACAACAACTTCGAATTTCACACCTTTCGGTGGGCTGTTTTCATCTCCGATCGGCACTTCTGTGTCTTCTCCAGTCTCCGTCACCAGCGCTGCACAAACGACCCAGGCAACCAGGACTGGTGCCCTTACGCCAGTAACAAGTGTGCCATCCCTTCCATTATTGTCGACTCCGGTGAATACCACCACCACTACTTCATTGTTCTCGCCCATTTCCACGGCTTCCACCTTAGCCGGACAAGTCTCGACTGCGCCCAATGCTGCTAGACTGTCATCTTCCTCAATCGGATCGTCTTTATTTGCCACAACCTCAAGTAAACATATGGGCTCTCTCAGGCCATGTCTAAAGCCATCATTATTACCTTTTGAAGATGTGGTTTTTTCCAACCGTAAACAGTTGTTGGTGCTTCATCATTGCGCCCACTTGTTTCGCGTTGTATTAAGACTAATCCCTTTTTCCTGCATGCAATATTTTAGGCTATCACGAGGTTTCTTCTCTTGATTATGCATTCGTGTTTCTTGCTACTCTGTCGTATTAGATGTAGAGAATGTACTGTGTTTTGACATGTGCTGTCAGTATAGTTCCATTGAACAGACTCGTAACCACTGCATTTTTCACCGTCTTTTTCAGCTACAAGCACTTCTGCGTCTCTAGTTTCTGCAGCAAAACACGTGTTTAGCTTTGGATCTTTCGGACAAACTGTTACCACAACCGCCATGCCTACTGCGAACACCACTAGTGGTATTTTCGCCAGTCCGTTTGGAGGTTTGTTCAGTTCGTCGGCCGCTCACTCTGCAAAAACAACGTCAGTTCCTCGGTTACCCTCACTGTTCGGGGCTCCAGGTATTTTTCACTTTTCATGAGTACGGAACTGCTTTCCCGAGTCAAATGCAATCTCCAAAAAATCGTAATTAGATCCCGTCACACCCTCTGATCCGCTGATTCGCCGTATTCATTTGATGGTAACTCATCAGTACACTGGTTGCTAGCCGTTGAACTCAGTGTATAATGCTCCTCCTCATCGTCCTCCTCCTCCTCCTCATCATCATCGTCATTATCATCGTTAGGTATTATCCTCACTTGATGAATACTGTTCGCGTTTATTTCCACGACTGTTTAAGAAGCAGTCTTGGCTGAACTGTTTTCTGGTAGCAGCTGTTTGCGAGTAGTGGTCTTTGATTCAGCAAGTCTAACTGGTTTTTATAGAGTAGAAATAACGTCAGAAATACTACTAGGATTATCTCGAGTCACATTTCGTGTTTTCTGAGCACATAACCCTCACCCATTTAGTTACCGTTACTTTACGATGGCCATTTCCTGTGACACAGTGAGTTGGCTTTACTGTCCACCAATGGTGGTCACGGGCTGGGTCTTCCCAGGTTGAGGTCCAATTACGATTCCATCAACGAATACCGTATGCCGGGTGGTAACCAAAATCCTTCACGTCTAACATGACGGTGCAATTCCAGGTTTTTAGGTGCCCTGCAGAATGATAACCTCACCTTTGAAATGGTGAAGGAACCAGTGCTAGTTTGCAGAGCTGCCTTTCGGGTTTCATGGCAGCGTGACTGAACAGTGAAAGTCGCTGATGATACAGAGATCGCCTGAGACTTGAGTTGCTGAAGCAACGTTCCCTAATCACCGATATTTAGTATACGCCCTGGACACCAGTGATCGAAAACTTCGAGTTTACAAATGTCTCGCACACGAATCGGCCAGATTTCCCAATCATAACTAATGACTGGGTCGATTGCCCTCTAGATACATGGTTCTTTCTGCACAATTTGATTTCGTTTCTTCAGAACATCATCAGCCACGTAGGGACCTAACTGGCTCTATCAATGCTCTCTTCTTTATCTAAGCAGAATGGTAGAAACCCGTTCATCTGGGCGAAGTATTGTCTATTGGGCACCTGCCCGGTAGTTCACTCTATTGAAGTTTGCCCCGAGTAAACCAACCTCATCGGCATATTCGACGTCTGCAAACTAAATGAATGGACTTATTTGAAGGACAGATTATCCCCCCAGAACCCATCAACATCGGCAGCATGACACCAGTGATCAAAACCGATGCTTTACTGCCGTGCAGCCATAATTTATTTGAAAGCCTTATTGTGAAGAAAAGGATAAAGATGGATGGATGGAAGCTTGCTACAATCATTCCGAGGTGCCTACACCTCCAGACACTCATTCAGACAATCTGGATAGAAACTGATATCAAGAACGCCACTGACATCGGTTGGTAGCCATATCTTGCAGCCACTTGTTCCAACTCCCAATCTGCAGGGCCAGGAGACTGTGTTTGTCAGACCTCTAGCCATTGACCAACCTGATATGAGAGACTCAGTGGGTCGCTGAGGTGCGTCACACACCGTCACACCACGGTAAGGTCCAGTCTCTTCGTATCAACTATGAAGCTGGGTAACACTGGTAACAAAGGACATCTATGTCATCCACCGAAGGTGAGATCAAACTTGGATAGTTCTTCGGCGTGAACTCGGACTGGATCTTTCGTTAACAGGTGGTACACCACCAAGAAGAATGTCCGTGATGACTCTCGGTTGATGGAGTCGAAGGAATCGCGAACCTGAATGAAGCATGCAACAGTTTGCTGCTGGAATTTAGCCTGACGTTCCTTAAGTCGATAGGGAGAGAATATCTGGTCCACACAGCTTCTCCTAGGGCTGTAAGTTACTCCAGATGCCCTAATCGGAAGGAAAAATATCCCCATTCGGAACATCAAATGTGTGTTTGTGTATGTATAGAAGTGGGAGAATTACAAGGAGGTAGTACCTCTGAAACTTTCGTATTTCTTGCGGGATTGACACCGAAACTAGTCTCTGCTTGACTAGGCAGTTCGCAGTTAATGCCATTAAGCTCCGATGTCGGTATTTGGGGGCTTGTTGTCTAAAAAGCGGGATGGATTAACTGTTGGCCGATGTATCCTACCCACCGTTTCTTTTCTTGGGTGCTCTCCTTCCAGCGCTCCACTTTTGTTGCCCAAAACTGCTTATGCAGCGCGAGCCTACTAACCGGATAGTCCGTGGTTCAAAACCAACCCCGACATCTGGACTGCTGCTCTCTAGGATTAGGCAGTCTGGCAGTATCTGAGCCCTCGTGTTTCCTTCGGGTGGCATGGCACCTAGGCACCAAGTGTTACAGCGGAACTATTATTAATTATTAATTATATTTCGTGACTATCGCTTTTCCAAGGCGCGCACCCCAAATCGTACGGAGGTATTTGGAGGCTGTTAAACCAACCCCACACTGGCGCAGAAGTTTAGAAACACCGTGCTCTTGCATCACATGCTGTTTTTGTTGACCTGAGTGATTTGCACTCATAACCTTGTCACACTTCTGTCCTCTTATTCGATATATGGTTGTCTACATACTACTTCTGAACTCTCGACGCACACCTGTCTCGCGCAGATATGGGGATTGTGCAAATCTAGATGTGCAGAACAGAAACCATTGATCCAAGCAAAATCTGGTCTGTGCAAATCACATCAGTTATCGGGGCCATCGACAAGTATTCATTACCATTCAGATAATTCGTTTTGAAAAGCTGTTGTTCCCGTTCAAGTGGTTTGTGACCAAATAGACGTAATACACTACTCATAAGGTTGTCAGAAACTATTCAACAACCCACGACCGGTTTCGCCCTTCTTGGGGCTCATCAGCTAGGTGCAGTCTTCGAGTCTCTACCTGAACCCAAATAGTACATCATCAACTTCATAAACGGGAGATTCAGTTGGGTTCTAGTCTCCTGTGGAAAGCGAATCGGTATGCAGGTGAGTGTATTAGTCGAATATCGTACAATTTATGTTCAAGCCGAACAAAAGGTTGACGGAAATTGGAGGACCGCGCCTACTTGGTGGGCCCCAGGAAGGGCGAAACCGGTCGTGAGCTGTCATACAGTTTTCAGCAACTTTATGACTAGTGTGCTGCGTCTATACAATGTATTGCGATATCTCGAAAATCGTACCAACTGTAGAATGAAGCGGCCTGGTGCAGCACATTCGGTTGAAGAACATACTAAACGAGAGATTCGTCTGGGAATCAGGTGAGTCTCCCTTCAAAGCCCGATTGATATGTAGATGAGTAAGTCGGAAATTGTGGTTTTCCTTTTCATATCTACCGTCGCTACTGACAACAAACTCCAAAAGATGCAAGAGGACACTGCTATGAAACGTTTGTCTAAATTACGGATAACGTTCTTGAGAGTGGCACGATCTCGCTCTTTTGTGCTTCCGCACTACGTATACCTATGCCTTCACTTTGTGTCTGCACCGTGCCTCCATCTGTTTGATTCATTTTCATTCATTTCTCCTCATCTTGCTTTCAAGTCTTTTCGGGCGGCACCTCGAACTTTTTTGGAAGTCTCAGTACTACGACGGCCCCCAGCACAACTTCTGTGACTACTGGACCAGCACCACCGACTACAACTCAAGTGAGTGGTGGTGGCCTCTTTGGTTCAGCTATATCTTCTCAACCGTTGGGCAGTGGTGGCAGTGGCCTGTTTGGCTCGTTGCTCAGCACGGCAGTGGCTACGAAACCATCGGCTCTCGTGACGCCGTCGTCGACTACCACCTCAGTAACTACCAGAGCTAGTGGTTTATTTGGTCCCACCGCGGCTCTTGCCACGCCTGCCACTTCCTCAATAACGACCACCATAACCACGGGTGGTGGCCTTTTTCAGTTCAATCAGGCCAACTGTCCGGCTGGGTTATTTGGTGTTATCACTGGAACGGCTAGCACAAGTAAGTTGATGTAAATTCGTAAGGCACTACTCATGAGGTTGCTGAAAATTCTTTGACAATCCACGACCGGTTTCGCCCCCCTTGAGGCTCATCGGGTAAACACAGTCCCCGAGTTTCCGTCAACTTTATATTCTACTTGAAACCAAATTGCACGAAATTAGTGAAATACACTCACTTGCAAATCAATTTGGTCTTACGAGAGACTCACCTGGAACCCGGCTGAATCTCTCGTTTGTGGTGTTTCCAGGCAACTGAATGTGCTGCACCATATCGCCTCGTTTCAGTTGCTACGATATTGGAGATATCGCGATACGTGTATATTCGTAATGCACTACTCATGGGGTTGCTGAAAATTCTTCGACAGTCCACGACCGGTTCCACCCCCTCTTGGGGCTCATCAGGTAGGCGCAATCCCCGAGTTTCTGTCAACCTGATGTTCTACTTGAAGCCAAATTGCACAACATTAATGAAATACACTCATTTGCAAACCAGTTTGGTCTTTAGAGAGACTCACCTGAAACCCGGCTGGATCCCTCGTTTGTGGTGCTTCCAGGCAACTGAATGTTAGACTTTCACAAAACCAGATTTGTTCGCAAATGAGTGTATTTCACTAATTTCGTGCAATTTGGTTTCAAGTAGAATATAAAGTTGACGGAAACTCGGAGACTGCGCCTACCTGATGAGCCCCAAGAGGGGCGAAACTGTTCATGAGCTGTCGAAGTATTTTCAGCAACCTCATTAGTAGCACATTACGAATATACACGTATCGCGATATTTCGAATATTGTAGCAGTTGAAAAATGAGGCGGTCTGGTGCAGCCCAATCAGTTGCCTGGAAACATCAAAAACGAGCGATTCACTTGGGTTCCGGGTGTTTCTCGCAAAACCAAATTTGTTTGCAAATGAGCGTATTTCGCTAAAATGATGTAACTAATTCCGATGTCGTCCACTAACTCTTAATCACTTTCCATTGATGTTACTTTCGTCACTCATCCATTTGCTTTACCGCGTTTCCTCCATCAACACAGCACAGCGTTCCACACCTGGTGGTTTGTTTGGCTTCGGGGCCTCCGTCTCAAATGCATCGACCACAACAACAGCTGCAACAACGACTAAGTCTGGCCTGTTTGGGTCATCCTTAACAGGCCAGCCGGCAGTAACGTCTGTGACCGGAGGTCTTTTCGGTCAGTTTTACATCTGTTTCTCAATCCCTAAGAAGTATTCTTTTACCAGATGAGGGCTATACCGACTGACTCCCTATACTCTTAAGCAACTCTCAGCGACACGAAGTTTGTCGAAGTGTGTTAATTTGATGACCATCCTGTGTGTTCTTAATTAATGCTGTGACACTTAATGTTTACCCATATTTACGGTTGCCAGCGCACCCACACCATTAATTTTATTTTTGCGGAAAAATCGAACTTCTCATTGTCGTTGCCATTTCAATCTCTACTCTTGTATATGAAATACGCACAAATCTTGAAGAATAATCATTGGACGAATTCGAGACATTTATTTGCTTAATCTATTAAGAAGCTCCTAGAAGGCATAAATATCGGAATGCAAGCATTTGGTTTCCCTTAACCACTCGTCAACCCGGAACATACGTATTTATGGTTAGACAGCGTTGCAGACAGAGCGTGTGAAGTCATGTGACTCAGGGTGGGGCTATTGTCTTGGTAGACAGGTGGGTTGAGTCAGTTTCTGAGCGCACGGGACCGATTAGTTCGTTTTCAGTGAATACCCATCTTTCTGCTACTGATGTCAGTTTTCAGTTTGCCTGCAGTCGGTAGAGTCCACAAAGGACATGGGCTGATATGTCAAATTTATCTATTGTGAAGGTGCGTGTCTGCGCTAGGTTTTATATTCCGCCTACCTCAGAAGCGTGGTTTTCATAATAATCGATGCAATCACATCGCCCAATGTTCACGCGAATCATGTTTCACAATTGGAACTCTAGCTTTGCCGACGTTGAACACTTCAGGTAGTGGCGGATTTTTCATGATAGTTTAGCATAATTGACCAGTCATGCAATCGGTCACGGTTACTCTGTAATGGCTTGAAGGCACCCGTACTAGACCTGAATTTTCTTTCCTATTTTTCCCTACAGGAACTGCTTCCGCCACTCTACCAAAAGATGTCAGCTGGTAAGTGTACGGGTATCGTGTTTTCGCTGTAGGTTTAGATAGCAGACACTTCAGTCATCACCACGAGAACCGCTTAGTGGCTCATCGTCCACAGTGAACTGGCACGTGAACGGTTACTTGGTAACGAACCAGAGAGGCTAATGTTAGGTTAGGTTGAAGCGGTTGGGATATGTGCTATACATGATCAAAAATCCTCATAAGAGAAAACACTATCTTCTGTTCTAGCCTCCGCTTGTGAAAGTTCCCGAGACCAGACCACAACGCTAACTGAAACCAACCACAGGCATACAATGCAGTAGGATATTTGCTTCCTAGGTGGTTGGAGACCCTTAGTGACACGGTAACTAAATGGTGTCATAGGGGAGAAAGCTGCCACTTCCTTAATCGGACTGTTTGTTTGAGGTTCGTGCATCACTGCGCGTTGAGCTTGTGGTATCAAAAAGGGTCCGCAAAAAATTTGCCAATATCCTTCAACCCGTTGCTCGGGTATTTTTGTCTCTATCGTTTCTTCTGGGTCTTTTTCCACAAAAACTTTACCAAGTCTTTCTTGTCTCATAGTAGTTCGACACCTGTTTTTATTATCCATCTATGGCTGTCGATAATGTTGTTCATCAACACCGTTACTGGTCTGATCGAAGTCTCCTATACAGTATTCTTTGGCCTGCGCGTTGGTGCACACCAATGGTTCGTGTAACTATCACGTGATTTGACTAGTATTGTTAACGTTAAGGGTGGTGACGCAAAACTGCGCCACAAAAACTCAGTCTGGAGCAATCAGAATAACGCCGCTCTTCTTGGCGTGACAAATCAACTCCTTAACTTGCCTGACCATGTCGCCCCTTTCATTGTCTGGTCCCAGTTTCTAACCCGTGCATGCTTTTGTGGTTTAGGTCATTTACTCCAGGATTTTCACTTGGTCTATTTGCTTCGAACTCATCCCGGTTGCCGGGCAACACAAGTTTGTTGGACAAAATACATGAAATTTGTCGTAAACCTTCTTCCTGTGTTGGGTAGTAGGTGCGTTAGATGAATGTAGGCCTAGGATGAGAGCATCTTTCAACTGGTCGTGTGTCGTAGGATATCGTTACGACATCAGACTTGGTACTACCTGATGCCCTGCCTCTGTAGTTGGTCTCATACACTAGCGGTCGGTCAGATATACATGGTTTCGCTTTGTTCATCACGTGAAGTGAATTAGCCATATGTGTTCTAATCCGCAATTCAGATTACCTGTTCAGCATCGGAGCTGAGAATGGGAGTCGTTTGAACAAGAAAAAACGTGTGCGGTTACTTTTCTTTTCGCAAGTCCTAATAGGAGAATATGTTTTTTCGTCCCCAACTTACTGGTGCCAGGTTTCCTGGATTCACAGCACTTGTTTCTGTTTGTTACGTGTTGTTTACGCTGAACTACGTGGACTCTCTGTTTCCTCTTCCGGATGCAAAACGACCTCTAAATTGTAACCGAATAAGCGCTCTTTATCGTCCCCCAACGGCTTCCTTTCTAGATGCAGCTTATAACCCTTGGAACTCATATGTGTTCGCATGTCAGCTTCCTTGTCTTTGTTATTACTCCCACAGCTTGTTTTCCGGCTCCGCCTTTGAACTAGGCTTACCCGCTCCAACAACTCAGAACTCTGTCCAAAATGCGTTTGATCGCCCCACTGGCTCTCCATTGGTATTTGGCGGTGGTCAAAGTAAGTTTTTCGACTTCTTTCCATGAATCTAGTTTACCACGGATCCGTTCTGCTCCGGTGTTATGGGCTTTCATTCGGTTATGCACAACTAAAAACAGGTCCCGTGCGGTGTGTTCCGTGTGTTTATATGCTATGGCTGTACAGTGCCTAAGCTGGTTGGTGTGCTATACAGTTTCATGGAGACAACTGGGCCTTGTTGAGTATATCCTCGCAAATGGTCCCTCCCGCAGGTTTACTTTTTTATTCCTACTACATGTAAGATCCGGGCGGCTAAGGATCCCACAGGATGATTGCGGCTACCTGATTATACGCAGTTCGTATCCAGTAGTCAGTAGGAACAAGCAGATGAGGGCAGCAGATATATTGAGAACTGTCGGGAACTGGTTCTATAGAGAAACTGGCTAGTAAGTATCACGAATTAAGCAAACGTACAATCAATAATGGCGCAATCAGCAGGAGCAGAAAATAGTCAGTGAAGCAGCAGGGAGTTCTGAAAGCAACTGCAAGTGAGCACTAAACGATGTACTAACGTACAGATACGGGCGGTCTGTCAGTCTGAGTTAGCCGTATAGAGAGATAACGGCGCGATGCGGCGGGTCGTGTCAACTGACAAATCAGATTGTGAGGTTAGGTTCGTTTAAAACAAATCTCACCAAAGGTTGTTTGACAGGTGCGGTATACAGGTCGCCTACCATTCAGGGAGCTCTAGGTTCGATCCACAGTCCGTTTTCCTGTCAGAGAGGACGCTCGAAAATAGGTAGAACTGGGACGAACTTCTAAGCAATGACGGACGGGCAACAAAATATTGGCATCAGTTACTGAAGAATAAGCAGACCTGAAGTAGGAGCGAAGCAGGGGGAAAGTGAGCAGCAAGGAACCAAAACAGCGTTATAGTAAACGGGCGTAAGTCATGTTGCTCACGAGTAGTCAGAACACAAAACCGTCGATTCACAGGGAGCATCAACACTACATTCACTCTTCATTCGCGTATCACGTTTATTCGTTCTGGGTTTCGTCGAATAACTTTAGCTGGTGACTCACACCAAGTTCAACTGCCTGTGGATCTTTCTTCGTGCCTTTACGCGTGTCTTCATGCCGGCAATGGTTATGAAATCAGCCACGCCCATGGATCCCCAAAAGGCCTTTCTCTGATTGCCTCCCTTGTTATACGGTTCATTCCACACGAAACCATGTAACTTAGCAGAAGCCCAGAGCCACGTCGCAACCAAATACAAGCTCCATCCGTTGATAATGTGGGCACCATGCCTCTACTCCTCCTGGGAGGAAGCCTTCCACAAGCTCCTTAAATCCCTCTTCGATTCGGAACAAGCTACTTCGTCCGGGAGGCACTCCGTAACCTGATCACTGGTTGTCAGGACGGTCAGATTCCTGAAATCCCCGAAACCCACTGAGACCCCCAAACTTCACTAAACGGTGATCAGACCGCCTTGGATCAATATCAAACCGTAACTTTCAATATGTAGCGTAAGGTCGTTGTGCTTTCGCACTTGCTTGTCAGCAATAAGGCTGGTGTGTACCTTGCCGGCGGCTCTTTTTCCGGCACTAAGGCACTCGAGCGGGGACAACAGTCAGATATAACACTGGTGTAGATGCAACAGCATTCACAAGAACACACCACCTCCCGATCTTGTATACTTTCAGATCATAACCTGTAACGACCAGCTTTGCTTGTGGAATGTTGACACTCCTGTTCATCAAGCTGTCTTATAATCTGGCGCGCCTGAACCAGGTCCCACTATGGACGGCGGATTCCCCATAGATTTGGGTGTGGACAACACTCCAACTCAACCACGAGAGAGGGCGAGATGGCTCAGGCGCCAACAGGCAACGAAACATACACATCGCCGTTTTTATCGCTGAGAGCACCGTAGTGGCGCCCTTTACTCTACTTTGCAGATGATTCCATTTATGTTCTACGTAATCGCTATGCGCAACTTTTTCTCACAGGTGCTATCACGAGCTAGATAACGTTTGATATGATATACGCCTTGCCGTTGAGAACTACGTGTCGAAAGTACGCAAGGTTTCTCATTTTTCATGGGCGGTAATGGATTGGCGAACCGAACGTTTAGTGCAACCATCGTTAAGCGTATTGCATCTTGATCCCACAGCTTGTAATCACTGTCGTATAACAAGCAACCAACGCTTACGGCCCCGTGAAGATATTAGAGTAGGACAAAAGCACCTTGCAGTGCACCACTGCTAGCCAAAGTGAGAGCGCCATCTGCGCATGGAATTCTTCAATGAACGAGAGAGTACTTAATCGGTTATAAGAAGACGCTGTTTCAGTCTCTGAGGCGGTCCATGAAATGAAATCGAGAAAGAATGGAACATTAGTTCTCCGTATTTCAACCTAGACTGGCTTCATGCACGACTAAGATTGCGTATTGGCAATCACTTGTCGGCTCTGCAAAGTGTGTTAGCTCCTTAAATCCAACAAACGCATATCATTTTATCGAGAACACTGAGAGAAGCCCGGTCGCAGTGTAAGTCTGTGAACAAATTTTGTCGGTTATGGAAACTGAATGAGATCAGTCTGTGGTGTCCTGAAGGTGGAATTGGCTGCCAACATACAGGCCTTTTCAATAAAACAACCTAGCGCAAATTTAATTGGAAGGAACTCTCGGGAACGGTCTTTTGTGGTGTGAAACTAAAGTGATTATGTTAAGCACTCCAGAAAAAACCAATGACCATTTTATATTTGGATGTCTAATCCTGACAGCCGTTGACTATCTGCTTCTCCGAGTGAGCTGTTAGTCTTAATCGAACCGATCTCTGCCCATGATCTCCCGTTCAAGTTTAAGGTGCTTTCTCGATGACAACATTACTGTACGGCCTCACTACTTGTTTTAGGGGTCCATAAAACAGGTTTTCGCCTCTTTACTGTGTCACCTTATGGTGTATCTATAGACGATCCCTAAATGTATTCCATCACAAACCACTCACGAACAGATGGTTTGTTCGGCACCGCAACTCCGCAGTCCGGGAGCGGTTCGTTTGGGGCTCCTGCTTTCTGTGTAGCTACGTCTCCAACTACGGCTACAACGACAGGTTCCAGTTTGTTCGGCCCCACAACCGGTAGTGGTTTATTTGGCAGTGTTCAGCTCAGTCCGTCATCATCGCCCTCCGCGGGTGCATTTGGAGCTCGCCCGGTGTTTGGACAATCTGCCTTTGGCTCCTCCGGTCAAACTGTCCTTGGTGGCGCAACCGCGTTTGGTTCCGCGGGTCTTTTTGGTGCAACCGCTGTCATCAGCCCATCATCTGTAAACCCTCCCGGCATGTTGTTTGGAGCGAATACCGCAGCAGCTGCGACGGTTGGTGGAGGTCTTTTTGCTGCGTGAGTGTTTAAACTTTGTTAACCTGGTGCTCTTGATGCTTCATCCAGATCAGCTTAAGGTCTTACTTGACTATTGATTAGGTGGCAGTCGATCTGTTCGCCGAGCTCTACAATGAGCATGCAGTCGTTTCGTCATCATGCGGGAATACATAGTCAGTGGGCGCAATGACAATGTTTCCTCCCTTGACGAGGAAACATCTTCAAGCCAGTTGCCAAGCTCAACGAGCAGGTCTACTGAAGCATCAGTGCCAACACTGATTTTGTTGTCTTTGATGATACTGATGATGACTACCGTCACCGTATCAACAGCTAATAAACCCGTCTGAGCTACTGACATTTGGGCATATTTCCAGGACTTGCTTGATGTAGTTTTCATTCCTTATTCCAGCATTATTCTGAAATTATCCCATTAAGGGGCTCCTGTATGCCTCGGGTGTCATGTGAAAGCGAAACTAGCCCAGGTGTTACACATTCTCTTTTTTGTTCCTTTACTCATGTCGTTCCTTATGTCCCTACTGTGTGTCAGGGCCCACCTATATCATGGGCTTTTTGACGCATTGCCCACACCAATCAATCCCTCATTTTGGGACGGTTTTTGCCTTGAGGGCCGAAGACCATAATAAATGGAGAAAACCTTGATGTGTGGTAGAGACTGATTACGCGTCGTTATCATCATCAGATCGGTACTTATCTTTTACACGGGAATTATGCTTAACTTCCAGAAGACCCTCCGTTACAATGAAGGATAAGGTGACAATGAGTAGTTTTTACCCCCTTACAAATATCCGCAGTGTCCGCGCCACCAATACTTGTTCGGCTATCTCATCACATACTCGAGGGCACACGCTCTAATGGGACCAAAGTATATTTACCTGGTTTGAGGAATACACTGTCGGAGTAAATGGTCTTCACTATAGTGCACTTCATGTAACTCTAACCAAACGTTCAATGCAACACATGCACCGATCGGGCACCTGTCAAGAGTTGACATCTGCCTGCAGGTTTCTATTCGCAGCCCGGGACTCTCCTATGAGGTCTAAGTACGGGTCACTGGTTGATCATTGGATAAGAGTTATTCGTTGACTTACGAATCCAGGTTTCCCTATAAAGGAGACAAGCACATCTATATGTACTGTTTTTTCTGGTTGTGTGCACTGTTAGCAAGACTTCCAATAGGTTTGTGTTCCTCTGTACTGCTGATAAGCTTCGTTATATCTGGAATTGCATTTTCCCTCTATACTTCTGCTTAAGAGGTAACGTACACCATCGATGATTCTATGCTGTTCTGGGTAAACTTACTTCCTAAGCCGTGACTTCGCTAATCCATCGTTCAGTTAGACGTGTTCGAAATGCCCTCTCCCTTGTGATGTTAGGGATATTTTTTCGGCTAAGAGAAGCTTTTGTGTGTTTCTATCGAACTTTACCACCGTAACGAAACGTCTGCTTCAAAGCAGGTCGCGTCATCCTAGTATTTTCACTTGTCGAGGGCTAGCCCGGTGTACTGTATGGATAAAGGTGATACACAAATCTGGTCACATCTCACTCTACATTCATCTAATTCCCGTAAATTTCACGTTCCTGTTCCCCTGTTTTCGAAGACTGTTTTTGTCTCTTGATTTAGCGCACCTTGATTTATTGCTGTGAAAGAAGTTGATGCAGATTTGTGAGTTCAACAGCATACAATTGACTAGCACCATGTGAAACCTACATTCATTGTTCAGTCTGCTCATGAGCGCCGTTCAGTATGGTGCTGAAGGTTTGTGCATAATTCCTCCTCCAGGAAACCCTCAAGAGTTGAAAACGGGACGTGTTTTGGTTCTCAGAGAGGCTGATCACTCTCATAGTGGATATCACAGTGGACCAAATTGACTATCACGACACGCCAGTTTAGTAAACTTTTTATGGACATGACATAGCCAATAGTTTGGCCTCGAAGAGCTTCATGACTGAAGATAATACAGCTGAATGATGGGGCGAAGCCTCACACAATGAACCGGGCGGTATTTCAGCCCTCGTGCTTCATTCAAATGCATGGCAGCTGGGCACTGAAAGGGTGTCCAGCTCAAATGTCTGTATGCGAGCCCACTTACCAAGTGGTCTGTGAACCGAATTAGTCCCTTCGAATTTTGAAGGACTACCGCCTAGGCTTTGACAACCTTCCAGCATCTCAGCTCTAGTACCTACCTTTATTCTCCTAACGTGTATTCTCCGTTTTTCTACTCGGCATCGTTTGGGCTATTCAAATAGACCAATAAACGTCGGTTTCCTTTACGACTCTTAATCGTTCAACAGCTTGGCAGCGAAGTCAGAGAGTCCATCGTTTGGAAACTTGGCAATGGGTTCACCGCCACCTGCTGCTGCACCAGCTTCGCCTTTCGGTAAGTCACCGTGCACTTGGAGCTAATTATTGGACTGACTTCACACTGTCTTCATAAAGAAGACAGTGTAGTATTTGACACGACATTCGCTACCCATTTCTAGGCTAGCAACTTTCCTATGGTCACCACCACACAGTATTGCATAAAAGTTTTATTGGAAACACCCCGTTTGGTCTGGATTTCTCGGTTACCCTATTACTTGGACGATCAAACGTGGTTTGCTGACTTGTGAACCGATTACCATCTATAAACACCGTCCGGTTTGAAGTAGGACTCAGGTCAATCATTTTGTCGGGAAATAGTGTGCTCAAAGAATCCGAATTGCCGTTGAGACACTCTATGCACACGGTTAACGATATCCATAGCCTAATACACCAAAATGTGGTTGTTAGGTGTAGCATCAAGACCATGGCCTAGTCTGCTCACAGTCCAATTTCAACTCTAATCGAAGCATGTGGGGTCCATCAACGAGATGGGTTTGTGCGGTTGGTCATATCCTTCATGGGCACTGCATGAATCAGGATACTTCAGTATTGAGTGCTGGGGTGAAAATTGTGTGAAATTCGATCAGAAGTATGCCCGTAATTAATAAATTAGTTGCATTTTTCAGTCATATGGCTATCTTCCTCATCATTTATCCTCTTTTGAGCACGTTATTCTCAACAAGTAGGGTTTATTGAGTTCGAGCTCAAACCCGAATTTTTTTCCAATAAGGACATCGAGGAAATTCCGGAGTGATCGAGGGCACTTTGTGAACTATTTTATTGGACATATGCCTGAACATTCAGTGAAAGCGCTATTTGGTGGGAAAGGAATTATCTGTAAAAAAAACATCTTTCCAAGGCTGCAAACCATTGATAATGCATGGTGTCTAGGACAGAGAGATCGGGTTTCTTCCCACTGCACGATCGGGTATGTCATAAGGAAACAATAGAGAAAGGAAGCAAGCGGTTTTCTGAAATCGTGTTTACCCTCTTTTGACCAGCAGCTACTACGAGTCGTGGCATTTCGTAGGCCATACTTCGTGTAACCTTTGTGTTTTTCAGAAGGACGTTGAAGTCACTCGCTTTTTTATCATTTTGTATTGATTCATGAGGGCAGCATGCCGCCAAGCGGCTTACGACCAAATGGGGAGATTTATTCAACGCAAAATTTCTAGACGTGTTATGAATAAATGTGACGCAGTCATCTGAACTCATCGGCTTTCACCCTCGCCAACTCATTTTGTTGAAATTGGTGTGTTTTTTAGCTTAGGTGAAGCACAGCAAGGTGTAATATCTAATTAATCAAATGGGTAAGGTCCCTTGGGCCGCTCCACGCATTCAAAATACACTTTTGACCAAAACAAAATGATGACTATTGTCGGAACAAACTGAGGGAAGGATTCTTGCTTTCAGCTAGGCAAACCACACTGATGAACCGACCTCCAACTCCATGAACTTCGAGTAGTTGAGTAAAGAATACCGGTAGTTGGGGATTAGTTCGGAGCGAAATCCTACGGACTCTAATGCGTTTCAGTCATCGTTTGTGCGGGAAGATTTCAATTCACCGTAGAAGAGTTTAGATGAGTTACTTGGTGTAGATTGAAAATGGGGGGTCACAAAGAATATGACCACAAACTCCATTATGCCGTAAGAGCAAACGCAACTGCGTTTGAAGTAAAACGCAAAAACAGGCAAAAATGCTACATCCCTAGGGCCGGAATTCGGTCTACTCTCGTGGAGTGTTGGTCACTATTAAGATGTTAATGCCAGAAATGTCATCTGGCCGTCTATTCCCGAATTTCTTCACGTTTTTTCCTCTTCGTCATCCAAAAAACCAGGAGGCTCTAAAATTTGAACCCCGATAAACTATCTGCTTGACGCACACTTGTGTGCTGAGGCAAACAGAACTTAAGTATTCGATATGTTGGACGTGTTGGTGCCCGTCGGGCTATTTGAAGAACCATGGGTTATGAAAATCGCTGTATATGAACGTCGTACCATGAGCTGGACGCATAGAATTCTAGCGCTATGTTCCGCTCCGTCTGGTGTAGTGCCTCCAAGTTTTTCGAACCTACTTGCGCGAGCCTTTTGCATGGTAACTTGTCCATGGTTATGGTAGCTTCCATACTAATGTTGATTGTTGTGTACATTGCAATATTCCTCAAGGTAGACTCAATCAACTGCTGAGTTGTCGCCATGACTGTGGCTTAAGCCTCTTAAAATAACGTCTGAAAGAACTTCTTGGTTGCGTATTTTTTTATTCGAGCAATTTGTCTCTGCTAAAGCATTGTCATTCGTTGCTGTAATTCTTTTTTCCTCGGAACACTAAAGGAGTTTGTGCCTCTCCCAGGGGTACACTTACTACAACCCCCAATTGGTGTCAAGACAGTCCGTCAGACTCCAACTATCCTCCAAAACTGCATCCAACCTCGTTCTATTGTAGGGAGTGAAATTGTTCACTCCTGTAAATGTTATAAAAAAAAGTTGTGCTTCTTCGTCCTACACAATCAGTTTATCCATCTCCCATCGTCAAGCAACATTTTTATTTGTATACTTCCAGGTGCCAGCCCTTCGTTTACACAACGTCGAGCCTAGATGGGAATCTGATTATCCCCTTGCCCTGTCTGTTCCGTACCCCTTCCCTTGTATGTCTCGGATGGCATTTTACCACTTCCAGGTGAATAAAGTCCTATTGTTGTTGTTCTTCTTTTTTTCTCACTGAGAACAACATTGAGTGCTTGTCAGTGTGCCATAGACTGAGGTTTGTTGCTTCTCAGCTGTTTAGGCCATATCTTTCACATTTCCAACACGCTTAATCTCTACCATTTCGCATGACGCTATCTCGTGGAAAGTGAATACTTGTTTATTTTTCTCAAGCGTGCCATTTAGACGAATGCATAGCTTCCGCTCTCTAGCGAACAAAAGATAACATTTAAAAAGCCAAATTAGATTCGCTGCGGATATCACTTGACATCATTCACTGATAATCTTGGTAACAACAACAACTCACATCAACTTGGTGACGGTTTGCCTAGGCAACAGCCGAGGCAAACTGAATGTGACTTGTGCTCTATGAATAAGAGCGTGCGTTTTCTCGAGTTAGTTAAGTGACCATGAAGTCGTAATCGGTGAGAGTTATTAGTGCACAGGTGATGATGGTGGCCGTAATACAAATCAGGTGTATGCAATACAATGCGAAAATTGGAGCAAGTCAAAATAGGAACTTATCGTATGTGGGTCCCTTGGTGAAAGTCCGGACGGCGGGAACGTGTTTTCTTCGCAGCGTGGCCTGCTACACGTGTTTCATAATTGTCCGTGGACTTGTGGAGAGGTTGACTCCCTGCGCGCTCGCGAGTCTGTGTGTGCTGACTGTGTTCGGTTTCCCTATATGTAGGTCCGTTTGCGCGTACGTGATTGTGTCAGCACGAGTAGTTGCTACGCTCGTTAGGCGGTGCAGACAATCTATGTTCGATGAGTCAGCTTAATGTGACGTGGTTTGTGAGTATGAAAAAAGACAAGCCTCGTGATCCAGTGAGCGACTGTGAGCTGGACAGTCAAGTGTGAGGGTGACCGGGTGGCTACAGAGTCAACTCAAAGGTTAAGAACGAAATAAAACAGCATTCCGTAGTATACTTGTTTTTTTATTGTTGTTTAGTGTCGCCCAATTTCCATGACCGTGCACTGTGTGGCTCCTGCTCACCAAGCACACTCTGAAGCGATTCGATGGCATCTGTGTTTTGCAGCTTCTAGAATCGTTCGGATTTGAACTCAGGTTTATTATCATACCTGGTTGGATAGGCTTTCTTTCGAATGCCGAGNCCGAGACTTCTTGCCTTGAACCTTCTTCGATATACTTTCAGGGGTGTAAAGATTTCGATGCGCACTTAAGCACTAAAATCACCAGTGAGCTGAGTGGACCCCCGGTAATCCCAATAACTTCCGGTCACTGATGTCTGTGTTGGGAACCCCGGGACGAGACAAATCAATAGTTAGTGACCCTACCAGATAGCCATGTCACGCGGCCAATGGTGGTCTTGTATCAAAGCTATCGTCTTCATCGCTAGCCTCGAAGAGCACATTACATTCAGGGTCCACTTCCGGCTTTCGATGAGTCTTGGATGATTTCTTTGATCACAGAACACAAACGATTACCTATAGATTACGTGATATTATGTCAATTCAAGGGTGATGAGTATCTAACTTCTCAAGCACGTTCGGGTTGGTGGTTGGGTTAGACAGCTTTTTCTACATAATCCCATTTCAGGCGCACATGTTATTCGAACCTCCTTGGACTCTAGTAAAATTTGCGCTTTCTACGGAGCTCAACCATTTGTGGTTGGGTTCTGGCGCCAAATAAACTCATACTGCCTCCTGCTGTTGCAACTGAAAGATCGCCTTCCTTGCACCGAAACCCAAAAGAACCCCCCGAACGTTGTTATTCAAATGTGGCATGTACGCTCCGTCGTTGCGTGCAAGATCTCTTATTTTAATCGAGATTTCGTTCTAAGTAAAGCCAATCTAAGCTATCTTTATAGGTAATTATTAGCAGTGCCGAGGTATCCCTATCTTCGAAGACCAGCTGTCCCTAATACCGAACATCACATCATTTGGACGGGTGTGTCACGTGTAGGACATGGACCATGCGAGGGCATACCCTGATTGGTTAGAATGCCAGCCAATCCGGGTCGAGCATCCTTGACTGGACGCTTCTCGCCCCCTCACGGAGATTCTGGCACGACCTTGTCGAACACTGTGGTTACCCTATAAATACAGTTGTAATAATCTTCCTTTGTCTCCATTAAGGGCTGTGTACTGCTACCGTGCCTTTTGATATACCATATTGGGCAGAGCAAGAAGCCAAGGGACCGATACAGAGTTGCACTACCGTACAGCAAGTTATAACACCCTAACCCACGGCCTTTATGGGATCTTGTGAAATGCGCACTGTTCATGATTCCTTATAAGGATGAAATGGCTTCTCGGTATAGATTGGCTTCACTTCCACAATGAAGTTTCCATTAAAATTCCCAAATCTCCACACTACCAACAGCTGGATGACAGCGTAGAAATATATCGTTTCCTGTTGTTATTTGAGCATGTTGCATGTGCTGGACGTGATCAGACTTCCAGTGCTATCTTTCCGTTTCTAGGCCTCAGCCTCGGTTGCCTCCAATCAAGAAGGTCCGTCGCAGACGGGGGTTGAAAATGCGGCGTGGTCCTCCACTGTAAAGGATATTGCTTTTTCCCGCCGGAGAAGTCAACGTAAAAGTACTAGCTCGCGTTCTTCTAACAGCGATGTTACACCCGAACCGCCATTCAGTCCCACAGATCCTCCGGCCACCTTCTACTCCAGGGCTAAAGAGTATTGGGCCAACGTGTCTCCCACCATCGATGGTATGCTTGGTGGTTACTCATCCTTGAATGTGCCGGATATTGAGGATTCGCACGCATTTCTAGATGATTACGGCCCTAACACAACGGCATACGCTTTGGATTGTGGTAGCGGAATCGGACGTGTTACCAAACAGCTCTTATTACCACGATTCAACTCTGTGGATATGGCTGAGCTAACTCAGGCATTTCTGGACCAAAGTGAGACGTATATCGGTGCGGAGGACTTTACGCGCGTCGGTGAACGCTTCTGTACTGGATTACAGGTATGTGGTCCTCTGTGTATAGGAGAACCCGCCACACTGTTTCTCCCTATCCGCTTTTGTATGTCCCACGGGAACCTTCGGAGCCGGCCAAACAAGCCTTCTTATCAGGTTACACGCTTTGTATCATCATTTTTTTCTACATCTGAGGCAGACAAACCGGCGAATGTCACATTAGAGAACTGTTCTACTACTTTGCACAAAATAAAACTGGATCTTATCGCCGTAGCGAACGGATCACAGAAAAAACACTAAGATCGTTTCAGAAGAGTTTGGTAGGCAATCGATTCCAAACTTTCAGCAATCTAGCATCTTTGTCGAATGAATTTGACGACTGTTGCTGAACGAATAAATGAAAAATTCAGAATGCTCAAATCACATGCTTTCGCTTGTTTGATTATTATACCTGTGAAGGGCCGCGTAACTTTCTCCCTCCTTAAGCACATCAGTGCATCGAAACAGTAAAACCGTATCCAAAGCTTGTATTTTCTAGGACTAGGCGTATAAATTCTCATCGTGAAGGGTCGTACTTGCTGCGGCTGGAAATCTTGGAAAAATTTGCGGCCACAAAACAATTTTGTGGTGTGACGTTCCAAGACTGTTTGAGTCAAAAGTTAGGTTTCAAACGGTTCGGTTCGTGTTTGCTTGGCTGAACGCGTGTACCTGAACACTTTTGCACATTCTATGCACTCATGGACATCTTCAGGTGTCAGTTTATCGAAATGGATGCCTAATTTCGCACTTCGGAAGCTTTATTCTTGAGTGCACCGTCTCTATTAGTTCACAGCTAGTAATGGGATTACCTGTATCTAGACCAGCAGTTTTCTAATAGATCCGCGGTATTGTCATTTCACCTTGGCATCCAAGCTCTTAGTTTCTACAAAACTACTTTTCAGCGCGGGTGACCACGGTTACTGTCGTCTCGGAAACATCTGTACTGGACGACAGTATGTCGGTTGTAGTTCAAAAACTGTTTAGATCAGGCTATTTTACTTTCTTTTTGAAAGCGCATTGCCCTCTTTTAGAAAGGTAGTACTGTATTTGTTCAGGACAATCACGGTGAGTTGGCATCCGTTTCGGGATTCGCCTGTCGTGTGCCAATTAACCCCTGTGTAGGTTAGACACTCACATGCGGATCGCGTTGAGACGCGTGGGTGCTCGTCTACCTGGTTCAAACCCGAGGGAAAGACTAGAGGTAGAATAGGAGGCCGCTTTAATAGCATCAGCACGCCCAACTAATGGTTCGTGGTTTTCGAGTGAGATGCTGCCATGCTCTCTATCTACACAGTGACTCGCATTCATGTCATTAGTTTAAATAAACACTTATAGCGCCTCTGTCGATCAAATACTTCGGGGTCAGCGGCACATCTATATAAGAACCCAATGATGTCTGCTTCCGGTATTCTGGAGTCCGTGTGTTGCCAATAAGCAGATCATCCAGGTCACCCTCATATGTTCTGTAGTTGTCAGAGTGACATTTTCCCGTATCGTGTTAGCCCTGTTTAAGTGAGTACGCTTGTTGAAATTTTCTGTCTGACAGTTCTCTCGCCAGTGGCAATTGATTAGTATGTCTCGGAACAGAACAGTGGGGCATTTACATACCACTCTGAGTATCCGGTTAATTGTGTGCGCACATATTCTTTAGCTGAGATAACGGGTGGCAGCATTTCAGTACCACTTGCTTTATCAGACTCGCGGAAAGAAACCCTCTCGGGGAACGGTAGCTTTTCCAACCTTTGTCAGCAACTGCTATTCAGTTCAACGGGATCCCTTGATGCGTCCTTTCGCATTTTCCAGTAGAACGAGTCCAGTATACTGACGTCATCCTATCTCACACGCCTACGATAGTTCAAGCATCAGTTCATGAAATTAGCTTTCTGGTGCTACGGCGACTTCCCTCTTCCAAGCTCTATTACTTCTACTTTCTTTGTCATTCTATTCCACCTGAAATGCATTACAGAAATCGAGGTACATTAGTAAACCGAAGCCCTCAGGTCAGATAATTCAGTATTTTTCGTATAACAGCTTCGCTGGTTTTTGTACCGGCTGCCAATTGAGTGTCTGAAGAGCGCGAACCTCTTACAAACTTTCACACGATGTGCAATTTATTGTGCGTTAAGGATTCGAGCAAAAACGTTGAAAGGGTAAATTTGTCGTAGAGCAACATCAAACGGATTCAGAAAATTGCTCATTATTTAAGAATACTTCTCACCCGTTTGATAATTTTTATCTGTTAAGACATCTATAGTAGATCGACTCTGTTTTTACAGGATTTTATTCCACCCCGAGGACGTTATGATCTCGTTTGGATTCAGTGGGTTCTGGGGCACTTGTCGGATGTCGCCTTGGTCGGTTTCCTTCAACGGTGCGCCCAAGCGCTCTCAGGCAATGGTATTATAGTCGTGAAAGAGAATGTGACTTCAACCGACCCGACGAATCCGGATTCAGAAGAAAGCGAAGCAAATTTTGATGACATCGACAGCAGTTTTACCCGGTCCCGCACTGCTTTTCTCGCAATTTTTGAAAAGGCTGACTTGATTGTAATTGGTGAACGCCTGCAAACCAATTTCCCGAAATCAATCTATCCTGTGCGCATGTTTGCACTGCGTACCCGCACACCCCCGTCGCCCATAACTTCCAAGTGAACCCTTTAACGTGACTGTCCACCTCCTCACTCTGTTCATAATTCTCACAATGCTGTGTTTTGCTGATAACATTCCTTTTTATTCTCATACTCGCGATATTGTATTCGCTCAGAATCTATCGTTACTCGCCGAAGAACACTATTTTTGGGATCGCTGCCAATCCAGCCTACAAGTGAATAATAACCATGACCGCTCCGTCTTACTTAATTCTGCTAATGAAATGGTTTTGGTTTTTGACCACCGATGCCTCAGAAGCATTTCTAGTTCTGGGTGGTGTCTACGGATTAGTAACGAGATGATTAGAAAACGGGTATTTGGTTGTGCAGCAAGTACTTCAGTCGCGAAAAATATCCAGTACCTTCAACTTCTGTGGCTCGGTCATGTTCAACTCATGCAGAAACACCGTCTACCGAGACGAGTGTTGTTTTCCGTGCCTCCTTCAGAATGGCGCTAACCGCCAGGTGGACGACGTATGACGAAGAGTTTGGGTGTTGTTAGTGTTGTACGCCTTCCATGATGAGGTTCCTGTAGCCAAGCCTGTGCTAGAGAAATGGCAGCTGATCGATGTCACTGGCTTTCGTGCTATCAGTTTCTTTTCAGATTGTCTAACTGAGCGCTTGGTGGTGCAGACACCTCAGAATGCTTGACAGAGGCCATCATCACCCAATCTTTCCTCCTTTTTCGATTCTAAGGTTTGAAATATAAGCAGACAGACTGGTTGTACGGCAGTGAAGCATCAATGCCGACACTGATGTTGTCGTCTTTTCAAATTGGTAAGAAAATTCACAACTATGAGACACTGAAGGTGAATGCATACGTCGAAATCTTCCAGGGAGAAATCCCCCAAGCTTCCCTCTTTGGAGTGGTTTTTCCTCGGATGTGATTTATGTAGATTATGACAGATTTGTACTGCCTATTTTCCCGCACACATGCCCAACTTTTACGAAGTTAACCGAAGTGGTGCCGTCGTCACTTTCATAGTTTCCGCTCGATGTAATCCGTTGTCATTAAGGCTCGGGATTGTGTGCACCGGAAAATGGGCATTCCGAATGCCCCATTTGTTCAGTGTCGTAAAGAATGTACGTTTTTAAATATCATGTAATAATGTGATACAGTTCTCTCACCATCGTTTAATTTAATCAGTTACTTTTCTATCACTCCGAATCCCTGCAAATCTAAGCCTGCTATACTGTTCCATCTGCTAGTTCCCTTCACATTTTTACGGTGTTCGTTGATCATGGTGTGATATTTCGTCAGTTAAGATTTCATTCTGTCCGTGTAGCCAGTCAGTGCTGAAAAGCTGGGAAGCACTGTACAATTGCTTCATCCTCTTTGGGAATCATCAGCGGTGCGTATCTCACGAAACTCCTCAGAAGTTCCGAACCCGCGACCTTCCGACCAGTTGAACACTTAACCGTTTGGCCGCGGGCGGACGATCAGCAGTGTGATTAGCTCTCACTTAGGCCGAACATAGTGCCGCTCGTCCTTCAATTGAAGCAACCACATCACGTGATCACTTACTGACAGACTCTAAGCGACAAAATTCCATCCATTTTGTTAAATTATTCTTAGTCTGAGCCACTTATAAGTGGCTTAGTGAAGAGAAGGCAGTGAGCACTAAGTAAGACAGTTTTTTAAGTAAAATGATTGCCGCATGAATATAGAGAAAAAGGGAGTTATCGTATCGCAGGTACGAGCTGATAAGTCCTGTCGCTGGTCCGAATGCAGGTTACGTGTTTCTTTTCGCCGTTGTGGCAGCTACACATATTTCCCGGTTATCCATTAATGGCGCGCCGTAATTCCTGGGCGGCTAGACAGGGTCAGCAGTCATGCGTATTAATGTTGAGTTGTGCGTGGACCGTGTTAGGTTTTCCTTTATTTAACTACGTTTGCGCGTTCGACGCATACCAGACGGAACAGAGAGTCGAGGCCAGATGAATAACGATTGTGTACCGTGATTGCGATCGCAGGAAAAAGACGAGTCTCGTGATTTAGTGAGCGACTGCGAGTTGTATAGTCAAGTATGTGGGTAGTGGGATGGCTACACACTAACGTGCTTATTTGTTGGCCAATCCTAAGAGGCACAATGCTGTTATATGCAAAGCCATTGCGAGTGGGATAAATCTTTTTCACACGAAGATGTTGCGTCTTGTTGTATGTGTGCTCAAACCAAAAATCACCCAAATCCTCCACTTTGTCGCAATTTGCTTTATTGAATCTCCATTCTAAAATTTTGCCGCTCATTTGACCTTGGACCTGCTGTTCCATGGCTTCACAAGTGAGATTTGGGGGCTGTATCCCTCTCATCCTTTACAGAGTTTGAGGAGGCAATAAATGAATACATGAAGAATGTCATGTTGTGTTCGTGTGTTCATCCAGTAAGCGAAGTAACAATGCTGTTAAGAACGGGTGTACTATAAATGCACCAGACGGCCTTGAAGAAGCTAGTAAACTGAGCGTATTTGCTAACATCAAACAGTATGCAATCACCGGCTATCCACGGCCTTTTTGTCTAAGGAGGCAGGGGAACCATCTCCCCCCGCCACCTCTTATTATCTTGAACACCACCATAAGGTTTCTAAAATTTTTACGATCGGCTCCTGGTAAATCGACGGCTACCCAAAGAGGCGGTGACACCTGCAGGGTTCTTTTGAGGTGTGAAGCACCGTCGTGTGAAGTTCGGTGGTTTTTGGCTGATGCTTTCGGCAAGCTCCTTATCACTCAAACACATACAACCACCACCGGAAGTGTCGACTGTATCTGTTGGGTAAGTGACATATACGTGGCATACGATAAACGTTCGGTCCTGGCAAAACCTTGGAGACCAGATTCGTGCTGGGGCTACGGTCAGGGGAAGGTCACTCTAGCCACGTATGCTTCTCCAAATGGAGGCAGATAGCACTGTTTCGACGCTCTCCAGATGTAGTGAATGTCGTTTTAACGCTCGCAATAAACCGTTTTGGGTGAGTTTTTAAACCAACCAGTAGATGAGGCTCTGAGCCTTCCTGATCACGGATGACATGGGTACCGGTCGTCCGGTTATGTGTGCCTTCGTGGAAAGTGAACCCGAGCTACCTATATTCCGACGAATTGACAAACGGGCACCTTGCTCCATTCGCAAACTGTTCGGCCTATTCAAGGTAATGATACGCGAGCGGGATCAGATGAAGATTTTTTCATGGACAAGTTGGTGGGGCAACTGAGTCGCACTTCCGCCAACCACCGATAATAAGGAGTAAACCTATCTACAGCATGCACTAATACGCCAAAATGGACGACCCTAGAAGCAGTCACATTCGTAGCATCCTATGAGATGGCAGGGCACCATGATCAGACACATTCATGCCAGTGAACAATATTAGAAACTAAGGACAAGTCTGAGTGTAACCATCCCGATTAATCGGAGATCAGATATGGGGAAGCTTCTGTCTACACAGTGCCACGTATTGTACAAGGTGCTCTGCGAATCCGCGTTTGGTAAGGTTTTTCAAGATCTGCCTGCTAATCTGAGTAAAAAATGCATGCGTAAATATCAAGCTGGCTGCTTGGGGCGATTTTTCGCACAACAGCGTTCACGATCGTGGTTTACAAGAGTCGGTCGCTTCGTCTCTTTTTAGAAACGATGGCTTGTGTTTTCAAAACGCGTGTTCCTTCAGATATTTCTCCGAGATATCCAGTTTTGGTGCAACTTGTTTAGGACAAGCGTTAGAGGAGTCTGGTTTGGTCATGTTGGCCAGATGATCGTCTGCCACGAAAACTGTGGTGAAACAGAGAGTTCGGTGCATATTCTGCGGTCCTGCTGGATCAGCCGCTGGATATTCGCACAATGAGATTCAGTTCTCGAAATCTACGGCATTTTCAGACTTGCCACTTCATAGTGTAAAACGTCTATGTATAATGTATATGCTCCTGTATTATTGAAAATCCTTTACTATGGCGATTTGTTTAAGTGAACTAAATCTCCAGGTGAATAAACACCTCCGACTTCGAATACGTTACCCGATGATAAAGTTAAAGTTTTTATTTCGTCCGCAGGGGTTTTACAGAACAATGCATTGTGCGTCTAGCCGCTGGCACTGGATCATGCATAATGCGAGATATGCTTGTCATAATCGAGTTGCGATGGAACTCCCCAAATGTCTCCGTCGCCTGTGATACACCGTCTTCGAGTAGTTTAGAGCAATATCGTCAACATCTTTCATCAAGCCTGGCCTGCTTATTCTCATTCCAAACGGTCACTTTGCACCCATCCGAGATTATGCTTACGTCTACACAGTCGCTCGTGAGCGCCAAGGATTTTGTTGGACTGGGACTTCCTGAAGTCACAATCAATGACCTGTGTTTGCTCGCCATTTTGGGCTCTCTACGTACCTACGATACTTTTGTGCGTGTTAAATGGCACTGAGTGGTCATTATTGCCATTGTTCTTCCCACCTGACCCAGTATGATGGACACTTTTTGCCGGATGTGAGAGTTTTCACTGCGCTAGCGCTTGCTGCGCCTGAGCATTCAGCATTGTTTGCCCTTCCCTCAGTTGCTTGTCTCTACACGTGTGCATCCATGCCAAACATTCTCACACGTGTTAAACAAGGGTCTCCCGTCACCATTCTTCTCCAACTCTTTTCACCTGACCCGATGGACACTTTTTGCCGGATGTGAGAGTTTTCACTGCGCTAGCGCTTGCTGCGCCTGAGCATTCAGCATTGTTTGCCCTTCCCTCAGTTGCTTGTCTCTACACGTGTGCATCCATGCCAAACATTCTCACACGTGTTAAACAAGGGTCTCCCGTCACCATTCTTCTCCAACTCTTTTCTTGATGTGGTGCTTAAAACTTTTCCGCGTGGCTTTTAAACCCAGCCCCCTCACAAACACAATATATGTACCGCTCTACCTCAAAGTTTCAAATCCGTCTAAGTAACCTATTATAATAATTGTTTAGCTGTAACACCACCTGGGGGCCTGGTTGTCATGTCGAACAAAAGAAGCACGAGAGCTGGGATGCTGTCAGGATGCGTAGACAGGGGCAGTCGAGATTCCTAGGTTGCGTTGGAGCCACGGGTTTTTCTGTTAGTTATTACACGCCTTAAACACTGCAACGTCATCATCATGGAGTACACATCAGTATCCAATACCACTTAACCGCTGAACTATCTTGGGCACATTTTGGTTTGTGTCTCACACCTGC